GTGGCAGGCGCCTGTGGTCCCAGCTACTTGGGCAGCTGAGGCAGGAGACTCGCTTGAGCCCAGGAGTTGGATGTTGCTGTGAGCTGTGGTGCCACGGCACTCTGCCCAGGGGGATAGCTTGAGGCTGTCTCAAAAAAAAAAAAAATTCCTAGACACTTTGAAATTGTTAACAAGGAGAAAGTAGTTATGATGTAGCTACTTACTCACCTAAAGAAAATGCATACAAATAAGCAGCATTAGAATGTGGTAATGGATGAGATCACCGGGGTGTCATTCTAGCATTTGAATTACTGCTCAAAAATGGGCATTTTTCATACTATTTGTGAATAGGAAGAAATAGCAGATAACTTTTATATGCACATTAGAAGCCTGATAGACAGATGAGGAACTCAAAACTACTTGTGGAATAAAAAGTCTGCATATTTTAGTGACTCCTTCCTGAGAATCTGCAGGGCAAGCTCCTTCAAAGCTAATGAAGGAAGATTTCCTTTTACCTGATGACTGATATTTTATTACATCAACATAGGAGTAGAAAGAACTTGGGAATAGAGGGGTTGATTTCTTCCCTTTGGTTCGAACAGTGATTGCTGCTTTCGTATCCTCCTTTCATATCCTCAGCTTTCACACAACAGTCTGAACAAACATGTTACTACTACCAATCCTCTTCCTATCCTAAAAAAAAAAAAAAACTTAGGAAAGTTTTTATCTGCCCTCTTCTTACTAGTGAATCAGGAATATTATATTTGAAAGAATAAAAAGTTCAGAGTAAAGGAAACTACATGTTTTGCCAACTAGATTTAGGTTTTGTTTTTCCACTTAAAAAGATTGCTTCATCAGGCATGGTTAAATTTATTCCATTTGTCTTTTCATGAGATTGTTTTTTCTGTGAATTTGCAGTATTAAAAAACAATGCAGCAAAATTTAGTTACATGTTTGGTTAACCTTTTGGTTGATCGCTATCTGTCTTGATTGGTTGATTCATTTTGCTTTTGTTCATGCACTAAAATGTTTGATTATAGAGCACATAATGATTGATACACCATCAGAACATTTGTAGTTTTCCCTAATAAACTATTACATATGGGTTTTTGATAGTTTTCATGACATCTGCAAGAAAAATTTTTATCATGCATTAATTTTTTTAAAGTTTCCTGGAAACTTTTACTGTTTTGTTTTGAACCATGTCTCTGAGGTAACACAGTTTATATGTATCCTTCCTGTCTTAAGTTTTCTTCTCACTAACACAAAACTAGCCCTACTTCATCATGAACCTTTTTGTTGCCTCAGTTATTTTCCTGTTCAAGTTTATAACACATACATATTTAGTAAATAAATATTAGCTTACTTTCAATCTCTTAGACACTTTGTCTGCCTTCAAGCGTATATACACTCCTCTTCATCCTGAAAAGTGCTGTCGCTTTGCTATTTGTCTTCCAAAATGCCACTGTGTTTTGCATTCTTTGACTGCAATTTGCATTTGCATTCACTGTATCCATCTCCTTATTACTTATTGCCATGGATAATCAAGGTGATTGGAAGTGGGCAGTAATTGTTGGGAATGAAAAATGAATAAACTATTGTGTACCTAGTTGTGACAGCCCCATAGAGGATCCCATAGTCTGTCCCTGTAAAAGATTCAGGCTTGAAGTGGCAAGAAAAAGACTATAGAAAGAGTGCAAGGAGGTGTCCTTGTTTCACAGGCAAAAGCTGTGACCGTTAATAATCTCTCTACAGTAGAGAAGAGTGAACACATGGAAGCAATGTGTCTTAAGGAATACCTGTAATTAAGGAAGTGGACATTGGACTATCGAAGTTGGAGCAATGTAGAACTAGAAGTGAATGTCCATTTAAAGAATTCTTAACTCTTACGGTGTTTGACTCAAAAAAGTTCACAAAGTTTCCAGTCCCACCCCAACCCCCCAGTCTTCCCATCTCCCCAATCTCCATGCCCATGTCTTTGGGTATGGTGAAGCCTCCAGGATCTCAAGAGCTACTTCTTTTCTTGATTTCTTATTTCTTTATTTTTTCTTTTCTTTCATTAGTTACCCCTCTCTCCTTATCCAAGGCCAGAATCACAGTGTACTACCTATGAAAGAAATAGTTTGCTTTTTTCAAGTCCTTCACCTACATATTCCTATGTTGTCAGCCCTTCATATCTATGGGTTTTACATCCCTGTCTTCAACCAACTACAGATTGAAAATATTCAGGAAAAAAAGAACAATGAAAAATAATGGTACAAAATTTAAAATAATACAAATTTTGAAAATGAAGTATAAGAACTATGTACATTGTAGTAAAAATTATAAGTAATTTAGAGATGATTTGAAGTGTATGGGAGTATGTGCCTAGGTTATATGCAAACCCTATACCATTTTATGTAAGAGACTTGAGTTTGGGTTTCCAAGGAAGGTCTTCCTAAAACCAGTCCCTTGTGGATACTGAGGGATTAGAAACTGTGTATTTACAAACCTTTACCCAGATTTAGGTACAAATTACTATGGCTTTCCCCTAGGCAAGCAGGTACACAAAGGATAGTAAATGTGTATAGGAGGAGATAAGCACCATGGGCCTTGAGGAAAAGCAGCTACAGACCTCTGATTATCAGTTTCAGGATAATCTTAACAATAGCTTTTTCAGGATGTCTTATATTAAAACTTCTGCTCATTTTCTTTTTGGGGTTTTCTTTTAGATATTGGGCACATGGTCATAGAGATCTTTTCATTTGAAAATGCCTCTATCCTGAGTAGGTAGTGCCTTTCCTGCCAACTTATTTGTTCGTTTGTCTATTTCCATTTCTATTGATAAGACAAGAACAATTATCTTTTTATCTCTTTATCCGGGACCTAAAACACTTTTTCACATTCAATATTGATGGATGAGTATTTGGGCAGGTAAATAAATGGATGGAAGAATTTTAAAGAAGCCCTTCTATTTTAGGTAATATTAATTTTAATTGGAATGATAAATCTGAATTTTAGAGTAACTACCCCATACTGCATTAATACTTTTTTAATTGCTAGAACCATAAAGTCTTTAGCCATGGCAATTATCAGAAATTCTCTTGGTTTTAAGTATAGATTGTGGGTTAAAATAGGACAGACTTTGAAGTAAAATGGTATAGGATTTTTCTGTTCCTCAGTGAGAACCTACACAGCTATTAAATCTGATTGTTAGAAAACAGCATCTCTTAGAACCTGATCATTAGAGCCATGGTTTTCCAGCTATCTTCCCAAGGAAGACTATTAAAACTTTTAAGCTTTTTCTCTCATTAACTTTTTATAAATTATGGCATCATTTTATTACTTTGGTTATCAAAATCTGGTATCATTTAGTATCTAATTTAGTACAATAATTAGATACCAAGTTGAATAAATCACTATTGGTGGAGGCTTTAAAAACCACTGGATTAAAACACTATTTGCCAGGTGGTACCTGTGGCTCAAGGAGTAGGGCACTAGCCCCATATGCCGAAGGTGGCAAGTTCAGACCCATCCCTGGCCAAAAAAAACCACTATTTGCCTTGCCTAGAGGTTTCAAGGAAGGAGTAAAAAGGGAGTGACTGATTGATGGGTTTAGGGTTTCCCTTTGAGCTAATGGAAGTGTTTTGGAACTAGATATAAGTAATGGTTGTGGGGTGGCACCTGTGGCTCTGTGACTAGGGTACCTACTGGCTCCATATACCGAGGGTAGCGGGTTCAAACCTGGCCCCAGCCAAACTTCAACAATAACAACAACAGCAACAAAAAATAGCCGGGCATTGTGGCGTGCCTATAGTCCCAGCTACTCAGGAGGCTGAGGCAAGAGAATCGCCTAAGCCCAAGAGCTGGAGGTTGCTGTGAGCTATGACACCATAGCACTCTACCAAGGGTGACAAAGCGAGACGCTATCTCAAAAAAAGAAATAGAAGTAGTAATGTGACAGACTAAATGTCACGGAACTGTTTTAAATAGTAAATTTTATGTTACATGAATTTTACCTTAATTTTGAAATGTATTATTCTCAACTTTTGTTAGTCCATGCCTTATCGGTGAATTGCCAAAATGTATGCTATAGTTCACAGAATAATGCCTTCCTATGGGTAGTATGGTCTATAATTATTCCTTCGTGATACTTACTAGAACAAAAATGAGCACATGCAGGTTAAAGCCTGGATAACATAAACCAGGGGTATGCCAGGCAAATTGAGAGGATAGTCACATTACCTAAAGGTAGCAATAGATGTTTGTATATACAAACTCCCACCACTACTTGCTATCTATCTACATTCTTAAATTGAATATCATCTTACAGTGTTTTCTTAAAGCTTCTATACAGAACTATATACAGTTAACAGAAATAAATTTCCCATATGCAGGTAAAAGGCCTATTTCAAATTTTTAAAAAGTAACCAATCTTACTGAGTTAAAAAAGAAATAGAATTGGATAAAGGTATTCTATTTTTAATAAAAGCAGTGATCACTTCACTTCACACATGGTTTTTAAATCTTGTTTCCGCTACCTTCAGGATAGGTCTTATCCCCCATTGGCCCATAAACAGTTGGGTAAGAATTGATACATCTGCTTGTGTGCATGAGTACAAAATACACACTAACTGTATACATATTCTCTTTGTTGTTACACCATTGCTATCAATTTCTATAGTCAAATACTGCCAGAATAGTACAGGACAATGTAGTATATTTACATCAATGAAAGATGGGAACATATTTTGTTAATATGCTTACTCCAAAATGACCTTTCCCTAACATATTTTCAGTTCCCAATTCTCTTAATGTTAGCAGATAATGCCTTTGCCATGTATCACAACATTTCTGCGGCCTTTTTATATAAGTTTTATATAACTCTTGCGTTAGCTTGAGGTGTAGATTTATTGTGTGTGTGGGGGGTTTACTGTTAAAGGGGTGTTTTATTCCATTATCTTATGCTTATTGCTACCAATAAATGATTTTACATACAGATTCAAGAATAAGCTATAACATTTTTGTCTTACTTTCTCTAGAACTATCAAGTAATCCACCTCTGGCTACCATCCTTATTCCTCCTCATGCACGGATTCAAGCAGCTGGTTCAACCCCCACAAATGCCACAGCAGCCTCAGGTGAGGATACTTAAGTCTGTTTAAAAACATTTTCTGTTTTTGTTTTGTTTTGTTTTGTTTTGTTTTAGAGTCGAGAGTTTCATCCTGTCACCCAGGCTAGAGTACAGTGGAATGATCATAGCTCACTATTGCCTCAAACTCCTAGACTCAAATGATCCTCTCACCTTGCCTCCCACATAGCTAGGACTACAGGCACATGCCACCACAATAAACTATTTTTTTATTTTTATAGAGAAAAAGTTCTTAACTATGTTCCCTAGGCTGGTCTTGAGTTCTGGTCTTGAGCTTCAAGCAATCCTTCTGGCTCAGCCTTCCAAATGCTAGCATTACAGGTGTGCACCACTGACCCAGCCAAAGAAACATTCTGTTTTTGTAAAAGACAAGATTACAACTATTTCATTTCATTTGATGAGTATGAACATTTACTACCTTTCAAGTTTCAAAAACATAGGACAGTCAAATGAATAAATGTAAAAAGAAATTGCCATATTTCCCAAAAGTATCTGTAAGTACTTTATGCATTATGTACAAATACTGTATATCTTTTTATAATGTTAAATTCTGTCACCTTAGTTGTTATTTTAAATGTCATACTTTCCAGAAATCAAATCAAATGCTTCTAGCAGAAAACAATCTGTACAAATGTAATGTTATTAAAGATAATTCACTTTAGTTTCATCCCCCGAGTGTAAATTTTATTAGTATATGAGAAACAAATTTTCAAGAATTATAAGATATAGGTTGATATACTTTTTAATTGTTTGAAACTGCTAAAACTGCAATGCAGTTTTAACTAAGAGTTAAGTCCAAATGTGACTAGACTTATTTGACAAAGAAAAAAAGAGCCTTGCATGGACTCCCGGCCTAGAGCTAGGGTATGGTGGCTAGTTCATATTGGGCCCATACCAGGCTAATGGTGGGGGACCTGATTTAGGGAGAATCACTATCCTTATTAGGTATTCTAGAAGTACATAACCTTTGTGGGAATTAAAGTTCTTCCAAAGAATGGCAGGATGAGTTTTAAAATGACATTTGAAGGACAATAGGTAGCACAATTAGTGGCTCAGAATTTGGTACCTCTTTGTTTTTCTCTCCAAAAAGCGAATGACAGGAGCTGACGCCATTTTCATTAAATCATCTGTCACATTAGACTAAGTAGAATCAGGCCCATTCTCGATAAAATCTTCCACTACTAGTTCTTAGTACTCAGAAGTAAAGATCAAAGTCCATCTCCTCCTCTCTACACCAGTGTTGTTTGTTTCTGCCTAATCTTAATCTTTTAAAACATTGCTAATAAAGATTAAAAACATTTCATTCTCGTACATGTCCTACCTTCCAGGAAAAGCCTGGGAAGAAAGATCTCTTTTCTAGTTCCAATTCCATCAACATATGCTACCTTGATAAAGTCATCTGAACTTTATTAGTTTTATTAGTGTCTGATTTGTTTTCTCAGTCAGCAAAATCAAGTAGCAATGCTACCCTAAAATGATATTGTAAAAATTGACTATGTAGGATGTGCTACAGTGTGCTTCAATTTTTTTAATGTAAAAATGCAATTTTAAAAAAACCCTTATGACCTGTTTATTTAGAATGAAGATGGAATTGATTAGATGAGCTTTTAATAAATTCAATGTATAACTGGCCCAGGTTAGATTGCATTCATTGTTCATAGTATGAAATAGGCCTTAACCCTGAAACACATGGTAACTAACAGATTTATTTATTTCTTGAGCTAGTTTCCAGGAGTTTTTTTATAATTGCTTCAAACCAGTGGTTCTCAACCTTCCTAATGCCGTGGCCTTTTAACACAGTTCGCCACCCACAGGTTGAGAACCGCTACTTTAGACTGTATAAAAAATATTTCATTGCTATCTGTATATGCTTAAAACTGTTGAAATCAGATTTCAGCATAAAAATGGAAACTAACACTGGACTTCGACCACAGGGTTCCCTCCAAAGTTGAAGTAAATCAGGCTGTGAGGAACTTAGTAGAGGAATAGTAAGCTGAACTCAAGAGTTAAAATTAGGGAAATACACACCTCGAGTACCTTAGTAGTTACCAAAAAGGATTTCCTATACTACTCTGTGCTTCTTGGTAACTAAAGTAAATAAAGAAATGTTACCTGTTAAAATCTTCTATTGTTCATTACAAAAAGGAACCAGGTGGCTTTCTGACCTTGCTGTAGGGAAGTATGTCTTCTTTAAGTCCTTAGATTTGGTACTAAAAGAAATATGGCATAAACAAGTCCTCATCACCATTTCAAAAATAAATGTAATATTATTGAATTTCATATGTGTAAGTGGCCCTCACTATAGGCCAAAGGCATAACACTACAGTATAGTTAAAGGAAAATGGTTTCCTTTGGGGGCATAGTAGTGAAGACAAAGTGTGTCAGCAAACATATCAGAGGAAATGCTGGTCTAGACCCAATGATTGACTGTGTGGCCTCTACAGCTGTCTGTATTTAAATATTTTTATGTGCTTTACATAAAAATTTATACTTTATACATTCTTTAATAAGACTTTAAAATATATATGTCTTCTATTTCTCTTAGCTTCAATTTCCTTATCCACAAAACAGGCGTAATACCCACCATACAGAGTTGTGAGAAGTAATATAAAGTACTCAAAGTGCTTACTAGTACTTTGCATCATCATGTGGTAGGCCGTCAGTGAAAGGAAACTGCTTTACTATTTGTATTATTGTTATTGCCAAGTAAGGACAAATCCAGACGTGTTTTAAAAAAAAAAATCCATGTGGAAGACCAAGATGGCATCCTTCCTCTTATGACAAAAGAATCTGTGACTCTCCTGTCCTGGATAAATGGACACTCTATCTGCATACCAACAGAGTGAAGGAATGCCTACAGATATAACTAGAGTAGGTGATTAAAAATTCTTTTAAAATTTAAAATATCTGATATGGCCAAAGCTGTCCTCACAAAGCATTTCTTGGTCTCCTCCAGGGTATAAAGAAATAAACTGGTAAGCTACAAAGCTTCAGACCTTGCATATTTCAACCTAGAAATATTCAAATTTTAATTTTAAAATAATCAACCTAGAAATATTTCAAATTTTAATTTTGAAATAATTTTCAATCACCTACTGTAGCTCTATCACCAAAATAATATACTCCAACAAGCCCTGGGATGAATTAAATACAATGTAAATAAACCTCTAAGTGACTGAATTAGTTGGCTTGTAATGGAGAGCATACATCAAAATAATTAGTATTTTAGAGGTGGGTCCACTTTTAATTTATGTCAACAGGGAGCAGAATAGGTTAATATTTAAACTATTTTTCATAGCTTGGAAATACGCTTCCTGGTCATCTAAAAATGGTTTTAGATTACTAAAATACAAATTAAAAAGAGAAGCATAATCCTAAAATTATCTGATCTGCTAAAATACCATTCCTACTGTTGCTCAACACTATTGCAATTCTGTCAATTGCACTTTTGTCTAGGGCAAGATCATCAGAATACAGAGGCTCTTAGATGACTGCCTACAGTGCTTTTTATATCACTTACAGATGGCGTAAATAAAAATGGAATTTTTTGTCATTTATGTTGTCCTGGAAGCAAAGTTCAGTCCTAAAGTAGGTGGGGGAAAAGCAGAAGAACATTAAGCAGATTGACAAAAATTCTGTCTGCTATGATCATACTGACTAGAGTATCCTGACATAAGCTTTGGATTTTAGTCAATTACTCATGATAGCCAAAGTTACTACGTGGTGATATTTAGGTCTTACTAAATTTTAAATACATTATATGCAGAAATCCTATTCTCTATAATCCTGCTTCTAGAAAAGCAAGGAAAATTGACATTGTCATATCCAGGTTATGACCTAAAGTCATGTTGTTGTTATTTTGGGAATCTATACCTAATTATTATTCTCTGTCCACGTCAAAGATCTTACATACCAAAAAGAAGAGCCAATCTGAAGGGTCAGCAGTAGGAAATTGTCACAAAACATTGTAGAATCTACACCTTTATGTATTTTTATGAAAAACAATTGTTACACTTAGAGATATTTGTGAAAATATTGTAATTCTTGTGAAGAAAGTTTTTAAATTTTATAAACCATGTTGTTTACTATGCTAAAGTGTTATTTGCATGTGGATAGGGGCTAAACATATACAAAAATTATTGAGTATGAGTGTTGAATTTTTTTCCCCCAAAACATTTTATAGTTGTTTTTAAAATACGTTAGTATCTGGAGATAGTACAGTTGATTGTGGCTCACAGCTCTGACTTCAAAACCTCTTGAAAATTACACATACACACATTGTGTAATGTGGGTCCATATAGTGCAATTTCTTATTTTTATTTAAAATACACACACATATACAGGGGTTCCAAAGGTTGCCCCTAAAGTTGCCATACATTGGGAAAATGAGAAACTGTAACTAAATGTACCTTTATTTACAAAATACTTACTACAAAATTTTACAAAGAGGTAGCCAAAACATAGAGAACATTTTGCAAATAATTTGTAAAATTTTGTAATGAATATTTTGTAAATAAAGGTACATTTAACTATAATTTCTCATTTTTCCTATGTATGGCAACTTTAGGGGAGACCTTTGGGACATCTTGTATATGTGAATCTGATTTTCCCAGTACATTCAACTGATCATCTCCGTTGCTCTAATCAAATATGCACACTTTAAAGATCGTCTGGTCAGACAAGTATGAGATATGGTAGGAATTGCAAATAGAGCAGTTTTCTGTCTATATAGTATATTAGTCTTCTGGGTAAGGCTTCTTTCAGTGTGATAGTTCTGCTGTTAGAACAAATTTGAAAAGCACCGATTTCAGTTTACCTCCTGGTATCTACTGTGAAGTGGTCTTCTGTCTCATAGGTATGTATATTTATTAACCGGAAGCCCATTACTACAAGAATGAGCACGTTCCAACTTTCTACCACCCAACTATTAGAAAGTTTTTCCTTTTTACCCCTGAAATTGATTTCCTCACCTTCTTCCACCCAGTGATT